GTCAGTTGTAAGGACGTGTGGTGTACAGCTCCTTATTAACTGTGAAAAATAACTACTAAGATCACGAATAGTCTTTACACTGATAAGAAATGACCAAACCTAAAGGCCGGTCCACACTCAGTTTTCACAACGATTTGTCTGCGCAGTTTTAAGTCGGAATGAAATCGTTGCAATTTTTAGAGCGTTCACACGGTGCCGATTTAGTAACTGAGTAGTTTGCTCAGTTTTGCGCGATCTCGCCAGGGAGAAGTCTCGGACAAATTTACGGCCGGTCTCCCCAAATTCGGTGAGCATGGAATATCTCCCCAACCCCAAGTAATGAACGTAGCTTGATAAAACTTGGTACACGTATTTATTAGGACTTAACGGTGTTGTTTAACAGTTTTAGCTTGTGGGCATTTTTAGAATTTCACCTTCATTCGTGAGTTCTATGACTAATGACGATACGTGCCAAAATTTGCAGTGAACATGACATTTCTACTTAACTACTGTACAGATTTGAATGAAACTTTGAGTACCTATAGAAACCTAACCTCCCAATGGCGATGTTTAGCTCATGACAATTCTTTGGATTAGATAAAGCTGTATAAGTGTATAACTTGCAAACAAAGGCAAAATCAAAAAAAATTGTCACATGCTTAACAATTAACATAACCGTTAGGTCTTAATGAATATGCATACCAAGTTTTATCAAGCTAAGTTCATTACTTTTAGAGATATTCCTTGCTCATCAAATTTGAAGACCCTGGCTCTGGCACTGGCAGGCTGGCCGTAAATTTGTCCAAGATGCATAGTGCGATAGTGGCAAAGCAGAGAGTTTTTTAGACTCTGTCTCAAGTTCATTTTTGAGTCCTATAACTGTAGACCAGTGAAGTATCATCATCATGGATACTAGGTTTTTTTTTATTACTAGCATTATCATACTTGATAATTTGGTCAAAATCTTGAGTAAATGAGGAAATTAAAAATGAACTGATTCTAAAAAATCTCTGGTTTGCCACTATGCGGCGGGTAAGATGTGCCATGGAGAAGGCAGTATTTTGATAAATTTTGGCATTGTGCCTTCACTGCCTTGTTTAAGTCTAAGAACTTTAGAAGAGATTGGATCATTTAGGGAATGCGTCATGAATGCGAGGAATCAAAACACAAGAGAGATGGCTTGTAGATGTCTTCTTTTCCAGGTCCAGTCCAGATGGAATCAATTTTCTATTTATTCCCAATTATTTGCGGTAAATGCTCCTCAACTTATTTTACAGCTGTTTCTCTTTTTGCGCTTTCATTGATTTCTTTTAATTTTTCTACTAAGCCCTCGTATGTTTTCACCTTTTTTATCCCTGTTACTATAGCCCTTTAATTTTACTCGCCAAATGCAAAGAAAAACTTTCTTTTAGAAAAGCAATAAATTCCCAAGAACATTACCAAAGGTTGGCCATTGTTGCTAGAATCATTGAAACTGAGCATAAATTGAATAGGAAAACTGTGTTACCGTACAGTTGTCCACACGTTCCGACTTATCTGCCCAGTTTGTTGAAAACTTGAAATCTATGCTCTGTAGCTCAGATTTTGATGCAACTGCACAGTTTTCGCACCAACTTCAAAACTGCGCAGTTTTCCCATCCACGCGCAACGTTTTAACTGCTGATTAGAACTGCGCAGTTTTCGCACCAACTTCAAAACTGCGCAGTTTCCCCATCCACTCTTGATCATTATGAATTTGCCTACTACACCACAGGGTTGGCGATTTTTTTTGATTTTTTTAAAAAAATCAAAAAAATCAAAAATCAATGATTTTTTTGATTTTTTCATGATTTTTTTGATTTATTTGATTTTTTTGATTTTTTCAACTTTTTTGTCTTTTTGAAGNGTTTATATACCAATTTGTCATTTATAGTACATTTATACTAAACCATGAATAACAATACCTCAATATAAATTAAAGACTGCCACTCAATATATTTAAATATATGAAAAAATCAAAAAAATCAAAAAAATAGAAAAAATCAAAAAAATCATGATTTTTTTATAAAAAAATCAAGTGATTTAATCACATGATTTAATCATTTTGATTTAATCATTGCCAACCCTGCTACACCGACAATTCAATTCAATTCACACGCAACGTTTTAACTGCCGATTCGAACTGCGCAGACAAATTGTTGTGTAAAACTGAGCGTGTGGACCGGCATTTATAATGATAGCTTCTAAGGCCCTGGCCCTCCTGGAAGCTCCCAAGCAGAAGTTGAAACCTAACTGATTCCCAACTGAAACACTTTATTTATTTTTTTAAGGCCTCCCACACTCACCATTCCAACAGAAAGGGAATTAATTTTATTAATTAAAAACAGGGAATTGTTTCAGGTCAATGATCAGGGCCCCAACCTTTACGCCTCTGATGGTGGCCTACACCATCGTTTTTTGTTGCTGGACCTCCACGCTGCTCCACCTAGTCCACCAGACCCAAAGCCAAGCAAACCCAACAGCTTGAACAGCAACAATTCAAGGAGAGTGCAATTAAGTGCTATAGGGTAAACCCACCATATTCTGACACTGTGGGTAATTCCAACACCTCCCAACTTTTTCCTTTATATTAGGCTTTGTCTTCATTCTACGCATGTGTAGATAGTTGAAATAGTGACGTCATACTATTGCGCGCAATATTTCCGCAAAACACTAGGTCTGGCAGGAAAATGTTAAGATCTGCAGAGCTAAACTCCACATCAGCTAGTGAGAACATTGAAACTCGTGTGAAAGTTGATAGTTGACCTTGCTTTACTAAATACTGATAAACTGTTTGTGTAGAAAGAATATTATGGTTTGAGACTTTTAAATAAGTCTGTGAATATACTAGGAATCCTTTCATTTATACTTGTATTTGCTGATTTTAAGTGGTAAATAAATTAATAGATTATTAATTTAAGAGACGGATTTAGACACAGAAACTGATTCCGACACAGGGTGTTGGAATTTGTTTTTGTCATGTTCTGAGCAGTGTCGTATTCTGACACAGCTCACACAGGGTGTCGGACCTATGAATTACGAGTCAAAAGTGCTGTCAGAATTAGTCTCACAATATGCTAAATTTAGTCACAAACAGTGTTGGAATTCAGCAATTTTGTAGATTTGAATTCTAAAGGCTAATCACAGGACCAACTGGTAATTCTTTCGTTACAAGGTTTTTAACAAAAGTACAAATCTGATGTTCATTATAATCCATCTAGAAACACATTATTTGCTTAAACAACCACTTGTTACTGTTTTGTATTGCGGGAAGTCAACTCTAATATCAGTCACATTGGAGTTTTTGGCACGAGAAAACTTTGTTAAGCATAGTAATAGTGGGTTGGCTTTGGTTCATTGTAAAGCACTGCTAAATTCTTCATGTATGTTCCATTAGTGTCATTGTCTGAAAAATTTATCAAATTGTTAATAAAAACGATGGATAATAACTTAAGTGTCAGATGTCATGTGTTTTCTTGCTAACTGCATTTGTGGTGCACTTCTTCAAACATAGCTCATGCCCTCTCACAGAGTTGTGATCATAATTATTTTTCATGTTTCACACAATGATTTTTCCCCCAGCCAATCTTGCACATACTAGTTGTAGCTCACTAATGAGAAGAGACATCCCTATTTTCTATATCCCATTGATGCAATTTAAAATAGTGCACTAAATTTCTCTAATTAAAAAAGCTAACAAGTTATAATGAAGTTTGAGCAAATGATACGAATTTTGATCAAAATACTCCATGTACTACTCAATAATATCTTCATTTAAAAACTATTTTTGATAAACTGTAGGGTAATAGGGGACCATTTGTGGGGTAACATTGTGGGGTAACATTGCTCTAACATATTCTTTTGTCAAATTAAATTCAGTGCAATTAGAATGCATGCCGTGGGCTGGTCCTTTCTTACCCCATGAAGCCTGCGATCCTGTCTTACCCCATTTGACTATACTACCTCAGAAAATATTGACTATACTCCTACAAATATTGTGCTACAACATCGAGACACGTATCATTCGATGCATAAAGACCATATCTAGCAATTCTCAGGCCACTTTTTCCATTTTTTATTGGTTCTCTTGTTATGATGACTTTTCTGAAATTTTTTAATTTTTTACCCACTTTTTTAATTTTTTCCCTTTTTTCAAAAAATTTTCAAAACTAAAACAAAATTTAAAAAATGGCTTGAGAATCGCTAGATATTTTAATTGCAAATCGAATGGTATATGCCTCATTGCTGTAGCTTCAAAATTCTACGAGGAGATAGGTTTGCCGTGACAATAAGTTAACTTTTCAGAACGCAACAAAGTCCCGCACGCCTCGCAATAAGTACTAAATGTAGCGAAGATATGAAACTAAGTGTTACTGGAGCTTGATTCCACTCAAAGGTGGTGGGAGCAACTGCTAGCACACCTCGTGCAAAGCCAGATGGATTACTCATTCTCATTGCTTAAAGAACTCCCCCACCCTCCTCCTTTCATGATCTGTCCTGAATGCATAAATCAACATACAGAGATGGTAATGGTACCATTGGATAGGGCAGAAGGTCAGCTGTAAGATGAGACTAAATGTGTAACTAAGCTGCACCTCAAGCAGACACTAAGCTGCACCTCAAGCAGACACTAAGCTGCACCTCAAGCAGGTACCGTTGGATAGGTCAGAATGTCGGCTTTAAGATGAGTATAAAAACCTAAAAAGTCAAAATTCTTGATTTTGACCAACATGCTCCCCTTAAAGAGATGGTGATAGCAATATGTATTCAATTACTAAAGAAGACTTGATGAAATTGTATTATTTTGAAAAATTTACTCGTGAAAGGGTTAACTAGTGATGCCTTCAAATTCAAGTTAATGGAAAAAATATTATATTGGTACATTAGGCATTTGAAAGAATCAAATGTAAAATAATAAAAATAAATAAAAAATCAAGTTAAAAACACTATCATAACTCTTTATTGCCACCCATGTTTTGAAATTTGCTGAATCCTTCTTTCAGATTACCGTATTTGATTTTGTTGGATAGTTTAAACAAAAACTAATCAATCATGAAATTCTTTGATCAACTGAAAAATTTATCATCATATATTACTGAAGAAATACGGACGCTGGAAATAGAATGCCATGTGCCTCCTGGGTGAGTTGTGTAATCTATTACCTATACTTAGCTGTGTAATTATATTCCCCTGGCATTGAGAGAAATTGTTGAATTTCAATGAGTTTAACTTTTTGTTTTCATTGTATTTTCTAATTAAATTTTTACTCATTAGGGAGAGCTAGGGGTTTTAGTCCTAATCACATTGAAAAGGCAACAAAGCTCTTGAATTTTTAAAACTCTCACTAGCGAGTGTAAGGCCAGTCATGCAAATCTGTCATGATCTATTCATGGTATTGAGTTGTGATTACATCTGCTAGTTGATTTAGATATTGCGATCTAATGCAAGGCTTTTTTTGTGGTAGGTATTTTACATATGCATCATGTTTGGTAGGTCCTGTTGACAAGAAGCTGAAATTGTTAAGCAGCTGCTACTGATGCCAGCTTCTATGATCCGCAAAATCTTTTCAACACATTTCTCTTCAACCAGACTTATTGTTTTGTCAATAATGTGGATGTAGGAATCAGGCTGTGTGAATTAGGACCCACAGAGACCTAAATACTTTCTCATGAGTTTAAAACATTTTTCTGATTACCTTTACCTTAACTCTCTGTTTAGTTGTCTCCCATGTAATTTCGATAAAAATTTGTAGCCACTGCCATGCTACCGTTGTTGAATTTACAATATTTTCAGCATTTAGTCCTCATTTGAGGCACAGTTGTGTCCTGCATTTGAACACTTATGCTAAACTCTTCTAAAATATTTATAATTTCAGCCATTCACAATGGAAGAAGTAGCAACAAACTTGTCTAGATGTTGTCAGATCTCTGCTCCTGAGATCTCTTTGAGGGCATAGATCATTTTTAGGGTGTCATTTTAGGCATGGTTTTTATCCATCAATGTAGCTCTATTTGGGTTGATTGTTGTGTTATATGTGACATACCCTACCTATGGAGAATTATGTGATTTTATCTAGAATTTTATACTATTATTTAGAATTGAATAAAATTTTGATGTAAAATACAGAATTTCATAGTTGATCACCCTGCATGATCTGGATGTATATTCTTCTTATTCATTCTGTTGTGACTACTACAATGAATTGTTTTTATTAGGCAATATTGTACTGATAGTTCAGTCAACTTACTCAACTAGTCTGGGATCAGGATGGCCTGAATGCAAAATTTCATTGAATTGCCATGGTAAATGCTTCAAGTATGCAATATCTATCTAGTTGTGTACATGATGTTACTGTATGCTAGCAGGTGGGACCCTGAAGTAAATAGGGGAATTAGATTGAATCAATAAAAGGATTACTTTTATTGATTTACTTTTACTTTTATTGATTTACCTTTTGTGTTCAATTATTTCAAACTTCGATAGCAATTCATTGTGTTTTTTTTTTTTGCAGAACTCGTCCGCATTTGTATGTGGCTGCTGAGAAACAGTTACTGGAAGAAGTAGCTGAAATCAAGGTATTTCACTGCCTTGAATTAACTCTCCTGCAGTCTTTGGGTCAAAATGACCAACATTTCTGACCCTATGCCTTGAGGTCATAGCCCATATACCAGTTATGAAGACTACAGGAGGGTTAAATAAACTCTTCATCCCCACTGTACAAATTTCTACAACTTATTTACCACAGGAAACTTGTAATATATTTAGTCTTCAATTTGTAATTCCTTTCAATTCAATTTATAATTCCTTAGTTGCCATGTGAACATCATACTAATTAAGTTCACTCAGCTTTAACTCAATTTTTCAAATGTTATATAACCTTCTACCTTATTGCTGTGAATATCACATAAAAAGTTAATTGTTTCATTCAATCTAATGACTAAAAAGCATCAGAGTTAGTTTGTGTTTTATTTTATTTTATTTTTTTTTGGCTAAATATGAAGAATGAATGTCTTGGTAGGTAGAAGCTTTTGTGTTTGGGGCTGGAATAGCATCAGTATGTTGGAGTCATGCATTTTACTCTTGTGTTTATTTTCTTTTCCAGAAGCTCTCGTCCAACTTGACAGAGCAGGCACAAAGTTTCAAGAAGTTTGAAGAATTTCTGCTAGCAACTGAGGAACTGATGCAGCAGAAAACAGAAGAAATTAATAAATTAGAAACCTACCTGATGAAGTGAGATCTTTTTTGTCTGTTGTAAATCAAAGCCTGATTTTTGAAATTTGCAGTCTGCTCCCAATTTGTTTAGAGCAGTTTTTATAAATTTAAGATTTTATTTGAAACACTGTTATCTTAGTTAAATTATGAGTACTAGGTAGTGTACCTACTTGTCTAGTAGATTAGTGTACCCAATGAGTAGTGTACCTAATGCAAGAGTTACATACAATATATATATATCAATAGTCTTCAGAAAATAGGTTTAAAAATTTAAATATTTCCCCAGTGATTTTCCTACTTTAGTAATTTTTCTGTAGTGTAAGCACAGTTTATTTTGACAGTTTTTCAATAAGTTTGAGCCTATGATTTCTCTACCATTTTTTTCATTCATTTATGGTCGTTCTTGACCACCCATGAAAAAGTGGCTTTTATGATTTGCTCCAATATTATAGGTTTAAAAAGTAAATGTACTGTTATTGTATCATAGTAATTTTCCTACGTCAAGTCCTAACGCTGCCTGACATGCAGGTATGGTTATGTTGCTGAGGTGACTGAAGACCCTGCCTCGGCACCACCAACTCCTGAACCAGTTGCTGCTCCTCTGCCAGTGCTATGGTGAGTTGAATTTTCACTTATTATACTGGTAGCTTGTGTAACATAGGTTATTGCGCAGTCATCAGTATGAGAGACTTAATGAATGCCTTCTCTGTTATCAAAATAATCATATAACTTACCAGCACGATGAAACGCTATTGTTAATCACAATAGATGCAGTAATTTTGCACTCCTTCTGTTCTGATTCCATCGGGTAGTTTGAAAACTGGCTAAAATATTCTATCAGATATTTCGTTTGTTGGATGTTTCAGAAATTAGATATAAGTAAACACTAAACAGAGTTTTTTCTCTGAACACCAGTTACGAGTTCCTCTCTCCTGAGCTCAGCACGCCTACCCGCAATTTACTCGCCAACAAGAACACTGCTGTGAAGTTATGCCATTCTCAGAATAATGGAAAGAAAGGTAAAATATTACTCATTACAAGTCACAAAATGGACAGACAAAATTAAATAATTTTGAGGAATATTCTAACCAGCATATTGAACTGTTTAGTGACTCAATTTTTGTTTAGGTGAACTTTACTGGTAGCATTTCAAAATATTTTCATGTGTGAAGTTTATTCCTTGCATAAGATGCAGCTTATGTTGTTTCTTATTTACAGTTGATCAAGCGCCTAATGCATGTCCACCAACTACGTACTCTGGTCCTGCAGTTGCGTCCTTTGAGGTTTGTGTGATTTTTCGTTTGATTCGTTTTTTTTTACATGGACCCTGAAGCCAAAAAGTGTCCCTGCCTTTACATTTCTGGTTTTTATTGGCCAATCAAGTTAAGTTGTGCCCTTCTTATGCATTATTATTATGCAAGCATACTAATGTTTCAAAGAGGACATTGCCCCTTTGTAATGTTCACAAAACACAATTATGAAGTAAATCATGCTTTGTGTCACAGGTATAATAATATTCATGGTATACCATACAGATACCAGCTATAACGACTACGAGACCTTCAACTGACGACGAGCTTGACCATCCTGATAGTCACGTCCCCTCTCAGCTGAACCTGAACAATTCCTGCACTTCCCGCCTCACTTCTCCTCATAGCCTTATAAATTCTCCGTTTTTTAATGCATCTCCTACGACACCCTCATCACCGTCTAGAAACTTGGCTACTAGAGAAGGTATGGTGAATGCCGTCAAGCTGAATGCACCGATAAACACACCAAAAAGCGAACTTTGCATGGCGAAGGGCTTGGAGAACTCAAACTCCAGAAAGAAGTTTGTGACGCCTCGAACAAGGAGTAACATCGAAAATTGGCTATCAAAAATTAATGAGAACGATTATCTTCACAGAAAAGTCAATAACCCTCTACTGCGAAACTGTGAAAAAACCCCATCTCCACATCGCACACCTTTCTTCACTCCAAAGAGACAAATGGTGAGTGCTTTAATCTTTCACTGCCCAATTAAATATCCCCTTTTATCCATCACGCTAATAATTGTGTAACTATTTGTATGTAAAATTGTTTGTAAAGGGTTTCGTTATGAGCCTCCGCGTTTATAACGCAAAACAATTTCTTTTAAAAACGATATGACGAGACGGGACGAGAAATTTTTTGAAGAAAATACCGAGACTAGGGAAGAAATTGTTCAGGAATAAAATTATAAATCAGGATAATAGTGTCCTTTAATCCAAAAATTGTATCCCCCAATAAAAAAATGGTGTTCATCATACTATGAAAGGTTGCAGGATATATAAATTCTGAACGCTCACATAAAGCATAAACGCGGTAAACCTCTGCTTATTTATGGGCTGATTTGGCGACTTGTGACTATTAAGACATCTGGTAGTAATTGTTATTCTTTGAATTGTCTCAAATTTTGTTATTATTATAATTACTTTATTTTTTAAGTTATTATTTGGATTTTTATATCCAAGGTATCATGAAAACGCCCAACCGTAAATTTTGAAATGAACAATGGACGACTTGTTTTGTTTGAGATATTGAGAGGCACGTTTTTTCAGTGCTCGCACAGACATTTTCAGCTTGCACGTTCAGGAGGCATGTTCAGCTTGCACGTTCAGGAGACATGTTTATCTGGAGTGAAATGACGATATTGCGAACACAAAAGAAACCAATATTGCATTGCATTTTACTACAATTGAATCGATACCCAAGAGGAAGTCATGTGCAATATTCAACAAGCTTTAAGAAACGAGGCCATTAGAACTGCAGGCAAAGAGGTACCATGAGACGAAAGTGCAGTTGTCACCGTTGCAGCATTAATCATTCCCGGGACTGAAAAGACACACTGCAGGTCCACAAAATTGGCGAGGTCATGTAGACAGTTTTGTTTGATTTCCGCGATATGTGGCATGTTAAGCACTAACTACATGACTTAACCATCAAAGAGGAGTTAGTACTTTCAAGAGGTCCTTTTCCTCCTTCATGATGCTGTGCGACGCTAATGACATGACCAGTGGGCAGAACAATTGTGGCTGCTCCATCACGACCACGGCCTCTTCCTCTCCTCAGTTTGTCAGCGCATTTAAGTCAGGCTTCCTTAGCGGAACACACTGGCTCTGTGGAATACATTTTGAACGCACCTCGTAGTAAATGTAAAATTGTCAGTCTGAAAGATGCCACGAAGCAAAGGCAATATCTAAAAATTTTTCGAAGAGCAAACAATATACGAACTGTTTGAAAAATGCCTGAAAACCCATTATTATATTTTCAAATTATGGATCAACTGGTTTGTATACGTACACCGTTAGATCCCATTAATACAAGGCAATTTTCGGGAAACTTTGTCAGCTCCTATTTTTTCCAGGAAGCATCGTCTTGGCGTCGACTCTGTTTTTAGTGAAAGTTTGCAAAAGTCTCGATTTTTACCCCTAATTGTAATAGATTTTTCATGGTTGTCTAGTTTGTAGTACGGAATATAATAGGCTGCAGGTGCCCCATTTAGCATTGTTCCATAATGTCCTCGACCTGTGTATCTTTAAAAACTTACCCCATTATTTTGTTCACAGGGAGTTTTTACCACTCCGAAATTCCCCACATCTTCCTCCTGCCTTCGGATTAAGCCTGGTAACGAGGGTCTGTCTACGTTGCAGCCTTCTTTTACTGGTCGCTTGGCCATGAGCGTGGTTGATCCTGCCAGCATTAGGCTTCAAGTTCCCTCAAACGAAGATGCTTCACTAATCAAATGCAACGTTTTGGTCCCAGACTTGAAACCTCCTGGAGCTGAGTGTCAGGTCCCTGCATCCACATTGGACTTGTCTCTGGAAGAGCCAACTCTTTCTCTTGCTACTGTCAACGCCTTGGCTGAGCTTCGGAAAGCCAACGAGAGAGAAATTTCTCCCTCGCGTTCCCACGGACGTGATTCCTCTAATGTTTCTGACCTTCCAATTTCTACATTTGTATCAGCATTAAAAGTGTCAGAAGAACCCATTGATTATTCATGCAAATCTCAAAGCTCGGCTTTGAGTAAAGTAGTCAGTGAAGGAAATGTTCATTGCAATTTTAGCACAATGATGGGACGGGTGGAAACTCCCGAGGAACCTATTCTGACGACAGCTTTTCCTAAACCCGAAAACAAAAGGCAGATTGATACCCCTGAAGATCCAGAATTGATTTTTAAATATTCTTCTGATGTGAACGGTACGGGTCGCCCCATGAACCATGTGGATACGCCTGAAGAACCTGTTCTTAGCAGTGCTAGTGCTCCTGATAGGACGGTGCATGGCGAGTCAGAACGTTACGTTGCTGCAGCGCAAAATAATATGATTTCAAAGACTCATTCTGAATTACTCGTTTCAGCCAATAGTTCAAATTTTTGGTCGACTTATAATTTGCAAAATGTCATGAATGCTGATATTGATCAATCGCCTGAACTCTCTGAAACAACTCGTCAACTATTGTTCCGCCGTGGTGATCCTGGTGCTGTGCAGCCAACCACCGCGAAAGGTAACCTTAATGACCAAAGTTGGAATAAAGAAAATAACTTGGGACCACACACTTTATCTTCCACAATGGAATCAAAATTCAGGAGACCTGCGTATCCAACGAGTCGTCCTCTGGAAGTGAAAAATTGCATCACTGCTGATCTCTCGGTCACCACAGATGATTTTAGTGACCTTGATGTCAATGATGGGGATCTCAGTCACCTCTATCGCTCGCATTCTCTAGTCGGGAGATCACGGCCAGCTATCGACAACAGCTTCAGTCAAGCTATGCTTCAATATAGTCATGTGCCCGCGTCCCCTATGCCACCACCCAATTTCAAAACTCCGTCGAGATCATGTCTGCCAAGTGCTAAATGACCTAATTACTCACCGCGCTCTATGTGTATCAAAACCTTCATTGTGAAACTTGCACAAAATAAAAGAACATTTCGTATTTTTTATCCAGTGTTGTCGCGTTGCTAGTTGCTTAGTATGCCAGGAATTTGAGTATCTTTTAGTATAACCGAGTGCTTAACATGGGGACTTAATTATTAGTTGTTCTTCCCGTGATTTCATTGATTGATTTGTACCAGCAGCTGCATTTTAATTTTCGAAAATGCGTTAAAAATGTCTGTTTTTTGTTGGGCAAAGAAGATTAAAATGTAACTTATTTGTCTTCGTTGACCATTTTGCTTCAAGATTTCGGACTTAGTGACTTTTTTTTTTTTTATCAATGCCGGTTGACGCACACATTACTAAATGCGTACTCTCCGGCGCTTATGGATAGGAACTTGAGAAATGATTCGACGTACATTGTACTAGGGAGGCAGGGTTATGTTATTTAGTAGTTTTATTTAGAGTTGGAGAAGTAGTGGATAGTGCATTGTTATTATCGCATAATAGTACTTCTAGTATTAAATAAAGTATGGATGTATCTTCATCACGATACATTTTAAATTGCTTTATTTAATAACCTACAGATTTTCATGATATAATTTCAATTGCTCAATTCTACCACCTACAGTCAAGCAAATTTTTATCGAAATTGTGTACAGAAGATCTTCAACATGCTGTCCATCGAAAGGCTGCCGAGTTCTTCACCAGCCTTAGTGTGCCCAACGCCTCTCTAAAATCATGCTCAACCTGAACTATTCAATTGTACTAGATTAGTCACATCGCTTGGAAAAACGTAGTTGTCATTTCAATTGCGGAACCTAATAAAGATTGTTTGCAGTGTGCTTCATGTATGCCTATTTCGCTTTTATCATGCGTGGTAAGAGTCTGAACGGATGATTGCTACGTGTATGGAATATGCGAGAGAATTACAATCATTGCTCTCAGCCCATCATGTGGCTTTATTCATGGCGGACCGTATACACGACGGAGGGAGCGCAGCCGTGCACCACAAATTTTGTACACCAATTAGCCCTGAATTTAACGCCTTGGATCTTTCCGGACATCCACCAATCAGCCGTGAATGGAATCTGCTATCCGTAACCGATCATTGACATCCTTCTGCTTTGAATATTTTGAGCTCCACACCCCCCAGACACGAGGTCGAATGGCCGTCCACCACTGAACGTTGCGTCGAAGCATCACTTCATACCCTGGCCACCGCTCGAATTGCAACTTGCGCGCAACAGCCTGCGACCACTTGGATTTGCCCACCTCCGGCCTCGCATAAAACCTGCCGTGCACCACCAGGCCGTCGGTCGAAAGAGCCGTGCGACTGGCTGAGTCAGGTTAGGTTAGGTTGGGTTAGCACTCGGCTGGAGCGTTCGACCCGCGGGCGTTCGACCGAGGGCTGGTTCGACGCACTGCCTAGATACGGACGGCTTGGTGGCGGATATCACATTCGCTGCAAGGCTCCGGCGCGCTACGTCCGAGTGGTGTACAATTTTTTCGCGGTACGGCGGACGACGCTAGGCCATTCGATCGCCGGCTGTTTCTCCTGAGGGCTGATTGGTCTAATTCAATTGATTCGTTCTGTCTGGTGGCTTTCGGCTGCCTATATGATTTTCCAGAAGTGTTGAAGGCTACGTTCCGGAGGGCAGGATCCGCTCCAGCCGAGTGCTAACCCAACCTAACCTAACCTGACTCAGCCAGTCGCACGGCTCTTTCGACCGACGGCCTGGTGGTGCACGGCAGGTTTTATGCGAGGCCGGAGGTGGGCAAATCCAAGTGGTCGCAGGCTGTTGCGCGCAAGTTGCAATTCGAGCGGTGGCCAGGGTATGAAGTGATGCTTCGACGCAACATTCAGTGGTGGACGGCCATTCGACCCTAGGCTATTCGACCTCGTGTCGGGGGGGTGTGGAGCTCAAAATATTCAAAGCAGAAGGATGTCAATGATCGGTTACGGATAGCAGATTCCATTCACGGCTGATTGGTGGATGTCCGGAAAGATCCAAGGCGTTCGATTCAGGGCTTATTGGTGTACAAAATTTGTGGTGCACGGCTGCGTTCCCCTCACACACGTGACATCGTATCCTGACGACAGGATTACCTAAAATTACGGATTATGTGTACTAGCGTAAGAGGAATTTTGTGTAATCTTGCAATCCTGGGAGCGTTACTTAAAATGGATGGGATGTAATAACTCAAAAAGGTGAATCAAACACTTCTAATGTAAATCGCCACTCCGCAATTGACAATAACATTTAGCATAATATAATATCGCCATGCAATAACATTTAGCAATAGTGCTGAAAGCAAAACGACCGCGTATGATTTGAAAGGTTCAATGATTATAACTCAGAAAATATTTTACCCAGAGAGTGCCGAGTGGTGAAGTAAGGAGAATCAATCACTTATTTATTGTAAATCACCACTTCGCACTCGTCATTAGCATAAAGCATCCGCTATTACTTAGCGAATGGTTAGTTATATTTTATTCAATACATATATGTATAGTTATATTTATTATTATAAAGTTTTAATTTTTCATTTTTCCCACATTCGTGATTTAAACAGCAATACGTGCTTAAATCCGTAGTGAACAAGAAATTTATCCTAAAATATTGAACAGATTTAAACGAAACTTCGTATGTGAATACATAACCTCCTAACGGTGATGTTTAGCTCGTGACAATTTCTTCTATTTTATCTTCGTTTGCGAGTTAAACGGCTTTACTTATACGGCTCTTGGCCAATGCAAGTTTGAAAATCGGCCTGAGAGGTGCCGGTCGTTTCTTCGTATATATTTATAACTGGCGAACGAAGGCAAAATCGAAAAAAATTATCATGAGCTAAACATCACCGTTGTAAGGTTAGGTATTCATAGATGAAGTTTCGTTCAGATCTGTTTTGTATTTTAGTACGAATTTTTTACTCACTGTGAATTTAAACACATATTGCTGTTTGAATCTCGAATGTGGTAGAAGTGAAAAAAAAATCGCCAACGAAGGCAAAATTAGAAAAATTCTCACGAGCTAAACATCACCGTTGGATAGTTAGGAATGTATATGCAAATATTTCGTTCAAATCTGTTCAGTACTTTGGAAGAAATGTCTTGCTCGCTGCAAATTTCGTGCAAATTTCGGCACGGATCGGCACTGCAGATTTCGGCACGTATAAAACTCACAAATGAAGGCGAAATTTAAAAAATTCATGAGGTACCGATAAACATAACCGTTTGGTCCTAATGAATATTTGTACCAAGTTTCATCGAGATACGTTCATTACTTTGGGAGATATTCCTTACTCACTGAATTTGGAAGTTTACCGCGAGTCCGGACGTAAATTTGTCCGAGACGTGGTAGGTAGATCAAAAGATACGATGAGAAAGTCAGTTGCGTTCATTGCGAAAGCACGTGTACGATTTGCGCTCTCTAACATTCAAAATCTCTTTTGGTATTTTGCATTCGAAGGTTCAATTTCTAAAGTAATATCTCACTATTTGTAAATTAAATAGTTTTACCAACACGACTGGCTTTCTCCCTCTGAGGTTTGCCAGTCC